GCTGAATTTTTTCGATACATCAATGGATGCTATTTTCTTAACATTACGGTGCGAGCACGCGACTGTAACACAGAAAACGCGGTTTAAACTGTCGTCGGAGATCGCGGCCACCGCCATGTTTCAATGTTGTTGACAGACGACAGGGCAAACGACGCTCGCGCTCAACGTGAATATCGCGAGAGTTTGCACCGATGTAAACCCTCTATACAAAAATGTAGAGGGTTGTTTGAAAAAAAAAAACTTTACGGTCGGCATTTTTGACTTCGAAATTCTCGGTTGGTCGCGTTACCGGAAACACACTATTTTTTTTTTTTCTCCGCCTAATGAAAAATAGGCCATTCATTGAAGGTGCGCCTCATAATCCAGTGCGCCTTTTTGTGTGGAAAAGACGGTCAAGAAATAACATACAAAAAGCAGGTCACCTTTAACCTACTGTGGGGCTTGACCTGCATCACCGGAAGTTGTAAGCGGTCAACAGCATGGAGTCAGAGCTGTTGTGATATACCTTTTTTTTTTTTTTTTTAAAGTTTGTTTGCAATTCACCAGTTGCACTGGCAAAGAATGGGAATCTGGAGCCCCAGGAGAAGCATTTTAAAACTGTACACGTGAATTACGGTAGTTATGTTCCGACTACATTGACATTGCAAATGTCACATTAGGTCTCTACTGATGTAGGCAGTAGTGATGGGCACCGATGCGTCGACGCATGCGTCGGGCTCACAGAGCAATCCACATGTCGGTGCGTGTGCTGCTTCATGACATCACGTGATCAACACGTGAACTGTGTCGGCGCAGCCTGGACTGTGTCGACGCAGTCCAGGGGGCGTAGATGCAGCAAAAGCCCGCCACGCAGTGTTTATAAGGAAGTGCGTCTAGTGACACGATGCCGCCTGCCGAAACAACCCAGACCTCACCCTCGCTCGAATAAAAATATATATTTGGGCAAAAAGGAAAACACACAGTTTATCAGAAAAACGTGTCCGTCCGACTGCGAGCTGTTGTCGTAGTTCAAAGCTTCTTTAATATGTGGCATGGGTTGCGTCGGCGCCGTGAGTACGTGCTCGCGCTCACGCACGCACAGCAGAGAGCAGCGGATTATCAACTGCTGAGGCGCGCTTCACTCGAGTGACGTTGCTTTAGTACGTGCATATTATGGAGCAGCTTCCAGACAAACGCAAATTGTGTAGAGCCATTTTTTGATCTCCTTTTGGAGAATAAGGTATTTATTCAGATCTCCTTGTCTCACCAAGTGCCTCTCAGATTTTTGACGTGTCTTATTTCATTGTGTGTGTGTTCTCCACAGCAGGGGAAATAGCATGCAGGAAACGCAACAGACTGAAATTTAAAACACTGGAGCATCTTATTTTTCTAAATAAAAATTTGTGAAGACAAAGCCCACAAGCATCCTCATTCACATGATTTTCACATTATTGAAACACATTGAATGATACAATATGAATGCCTGGAATATTGTATTCTGTACACTTCATCATCAAATCAGTCAGTTCAGTCTGTCAAGTGGGTTGGATGCAGGAATTTTTAAGGTCCAGCAGTTGGCAGTGGTCAGCGACACAGTATCAGCACAGTATCAACACAGTGTGTCAGTCTGTCGACACGCTGCATGAGGCCTCATGGACCCATCACGAGTAGGCAGTGATCTCTTTCTCACAAACTCTTGTATCTACTTAATTTTTCTGTTTCGTTCATGTTAGGGGTGCTTGTGGCTGTTGCTCATCGTGGCATGCGTGTATGTGTGAACGTACGGTAGCGGGTGGATCGCTTGAGTTGGGTTGCTTGAAAAGTAGATCTTTGGTCAAAAAAAGGTTGGGCACCCGTGATTTCAACACAAGGTGGAAACAATCAGGGCGGGGCTGACAATCAGACTGGCACAGGAGGAAAGGCAAGTCTTAAGGAGATGCGGTTGCTATGTCGTCCAGTGTTGTTTTGGAAACTAAGAAAGTGTCACCACTTTTTCCCTTATTTCATCAAGTAATGCCTTGCCTCTTCCCTGTTACATGTCGCGCGAGTGACATGCACGTGCACGTATGAACACCTGCGATCAAACCCGCGCAAGGCACACGGCGCCACAGTTCATTTCGCGTCCAGTGTGAACGTAGCATCAGAAAGACCGAGGCAAGCTATTCACAAAAATGAGACATCATCGGAGGGCAGTCTCTATGAGACCATTCGCATCACGAAGAACATTTCTTTGAGGACAACAATGAGAAAAATCCTGTACTTTCTGGACAGATAAACAATGGTAAGTGTGAGGGAGCGGCTCTGTCCCTGACGACTGTGCAACAAACCATGGCCAACATACCATTCTGTAGTGTGACGGATGGGGGCAATTGTCATTGTGAGAAGCATATATTGTCACACAAACTGTACACTCGCGTTCACCAATGATGAGATTTGAGAAACGGTTTGGGGAAATATTTTGGACTATTTTGCTGTATTTTGCCCTTTCTTTTTGTAAATATTCAATGTGTTGTACTTTGGGAGGCCTACACAAGAAGTTGCACGTGCGCAACATTTTTTGACTACGCCATTCATTTGCGTGGAGATTAAAAAGAATGCTGCAAAAGTATGATAAAGGATTTTAAAAAGCCATCTACATCAAACTAGAAAGGTGTTCTCAGTCATCATTTTACGACAAGATACCTGAGACATCTCGCCCCAGAAGAATGTCTCATATATATCTTTGGGGAAATGGCCAATAATGAGTCGTTGCCACGAGACAGCTGAGCGATCATTCATTGAGCAAGATGGTTCAGGTGACTATTGACCAGTCGAAAAATTTGCAGTTCACATGAACACAATCTATAATAAAACTACTACTACTGAAGAGTTACTCGTTCTGCGCCATTAATTCAATTTCAACTCTGAAAACAGTGGCCCCAATTCTGACCCTGTAATATTTCATGCCATATTTTCCGGACTATAAGGCGCACCAAAAAGCATTCAATTTTCTCAAAAGACAACAGTGCACTTTATAATCTGATGCGCCTTATATATGGATCAATATTCTGATTTCTTGGACGGAGTATTTTAAATGTTCTGAAAAGCGCTTTGTTACAGCTGCAGCGGTTGTGAAAGTGCTCTATAAATAAAGCTGTGTTGTATTGTATTGTATTCCCTTTAGCGTAGCTCCACTCGTGGATGCTTTGTGCAACCACAGTCACGATTGTAGCTTTTATGTGCCTTATAATACAGTGCACCCTATATATGAAAACAGTTTTAAAATAGGCCATTCATTGAAGGTGCAACTTTACCCAGAAGCGCCTTGGTTGTCAAAGGCGCACTGGATTATTAGGCGCATCTTCAATGAATGACCTATTTTGTAATTTTTTTTCATATATTGCACGCACTGTACTATAAGGTGCAATCTACAATGCATCCACTAGATAGAGCCACAGCCCTTCATTTGACTTGAGAGGCGTTCATGGCCGCCTCCAAAAAACGTATATAAATGATTATTTCAATGAAACTACAAAAATTGAAAATACAGTAATGCATCACACATGAAAACATACATGGCATGATGGATGCTGCTTTGTTTGCGTTACGTAACGCGGGCCGCGATGTGGGCTGAAGAATCCCCGGCGACGCGCGTAATCGCCCTTGACCTTGCGATCCGGGTGCTGCGTGCGCGCGTACGTGCCCGGCGTTAACGACTTGGTCGCTCGCCGCAAACGCCACAAAAGACAAAGACAGAAAGATGGAATTGTGTGGTGAGAGGACGGCTGTTTCAAGGATTTTTGAATAAAAGCCATTTGATGTCACTGTACGTGTGGTCTCCGTTCGCAATCTGACGAGTCCATACATGAATGAAGCCCGCCTTTGGAGGGATAACAATGCCCACTTTTTTTTGAAGATTGCACAACTGTCTGTGTCCTGTGTGTCGTGTTATTTTTGTTATTTTGACTTCAGGATGACGCCGCGAGAGTGGCTGCCTTTCCAGCGGCTCCTTTGCTGCTGTGAATACTCTAATTGCCCCACGGGGATAAATAAAGTTTTCTGAAACTGAAACTCCAGGAAGGAGCCATCTTGGGGTCGACATATTACCGTAATGACCATACACAAGGCACATTGGATTTTAAGGCGCGCCGTGAGCTTTTAAGAAAATGGAAGACTTTTCGGCACGCCTTATAGTGCGGAAAATACGGTAATTAAAAACGGTGCACTTTAAAGAGAAACATTTTAGCTCTTCAAGTTATTCTGCAATACAGTTTCTCAGGCTAAATCAAATGTGTGTGAACAGTATTTGTATTTTAGCAGATTACTTTATGATTCAAAACTCTGATTAAAGTACTTTTAAACATTTACAAATGTTTACATTTTTAGATGCTAGCAATACACAGCGTGGCATTTGTTCCCCCAAAGCCAAATGAGTTTGAGAGGGCCACCCTTCTGCCCAAAGTCTGCCATGGCTGTGCTATACAAGGAATATAATTTAAATTAAATTCTGGCTCGGTGCGGTCCAGATTGAGAGTTGGGGGCAATATACCATGGTAGCAAGCCAGAGCAGTGATTGCTGCCTCCAGAGCGCCTGCAGCCCCAAGGAGATGTCCAGTGGCTCCTTTCGTCGAAGACACGGCCAGGCTTCCTGCACTTTGGTGAAAGAGCCTCTTGATGGCAGCATTTTCCGCTGAATCACCCAAGGGTGTGGAGGTGGCGTGGGCATTCACATAAGACACATCTTCTGGTGAGATGCCAGCATCTTTGATGGCAGCTGACATGCATCTGTGAAGTTATCTGGCAGTTAGAATGATATCTTCAGGTTTAGGTTATTAGAACTTACTGACAACCATGAGCATGAAACAAAGTTAACATCTATCCATTATCTGATCCGCTTTATCCTCGCAAGGGTCGCGGGGGGTGCTGGAGCCCATCCCAGCTGTCTTCGGGCAGTAGGCGGGGGACACCCTGAACTGCGTTGCCAGCCAATCGCAGGAGACACATAGACAAATAACCATCTGCGCTCACACTCATACCTAGGGATAATTTAGATGGTTCCATTGACTGCAACACATGTTTTGGGAATGTGGGAGGAAACCGGAGTACCCGGAGAAAACCCACGCAGGCACGTGGTCTGTGGTTGTCCTTTCTTGTAAAATGGAACTAAAATGGATGGATGGATAACAACAGGGCAATTTCATCTAAGAGTTTAAGTAAACACTACCAATATGCAAAAGCATTTGCACACACAGCATGCGATAACTTTTGGATGTTTTGGAAGTCCTCTCCTGCCAATACTCCAGGCAACTATAGAGAATCATCCATCTGTTTGTATTTTTATTTTTTTTTTGTGCGTACGACATTTTCTGGATTTGGCCATATGCCGTTTTTAATATGAAAGTCAAGGAAATGTTGGTACATGAGGCCCCTGGAAGTAGAGATTGAAGTGAATGGACCCAGCGAATGGTACACGCCGCTCGCTAAAAGGTTTTCCACAAGATTCACTATTTCATGCAGTGGTACATATGAAATTGTAAATTTGGATAATTATTGTTGTAAAACCATATATGTGAACTGTATATACTGCATTTTTATGACTTGACACTCTGTCTCACTTGCTAAAAAAGTTACAGCCCTCACAGTGCAGAGATCGTGGGTTCGAATCTGGCCCCGGCCTTCCTGTGTAGAGTTTTATTGTTCTTCCCATGCCTGTGTGGGTTTTTCCCAGGTACTCCAGTTTCCTCCCACATTCCAAAAACATGCATGGAAGAATTAATGGAACCCTCTAAATTGTACAGACATACCGGTACATGTATATTGTATATAAGTTCATACAGTTTGGTCAAATTTGAAAATCGTAAATCGCGTAGTTAAAAAGTCAAAGCCGATTTCTCACTGTTGATTAGGTTGTTGTAAAGAAGGAATACAGTGTTTAGATGTTTGAGATGTCTCAAAGGCAAAAAAATACAATCCATATAAAATAGTCAAAGTCAAAATTCAGATGTTCACAAAAACAGCTACGGTAATTTTCTCTGTTCTACTGTCAGAAAATGAAAAATCGGAGAAACTTGGCAGTCTTCTAATAGTTATTACTAAAGAACAGAGAGAGGTCGAAAGAAACTTTTTTTTCTCATGCAAGAAGACTGTCTAGCCTTTCTTTTGGTAGGCTCTATGTTTATATATCTGTAGATGGAACATAATACTTTGTGGGTTTTGAAGGATCATTAAAAATCCTTCAAAACAGCTGGCATGGTGAAGGAGGCTACTCGAATAATGACTGGCAGAGAATGAATTAATCTGATGTCCATTTTGATTTACATTTTCAAAAAAATCCAATTCCAATGTGCCAGTATCCCAACATGGCGGTACCCGAACGTTGACAGGGCTACGAAGGCCCCATATAGTTGCTCGCAGCTCTCGTTGTAATTCTTTTCTTCAACACATATCGTACACATACTTCAATCCGTTTACCTAAATGCTCCATCTCCATCTGCAGCAGGCGTGGTAATGTGGTTGGCATCTCCTGAGAGTCCATATCCCAGCACCTCCGCATACATTCTGGCTCCGCGCTTTACTGCATGCTCCAGTTCTTCCAACAGGATCACAGCTGATCCCTCACCCATCACAAAACCATCTCTTTCTGGATGAAAGGGTCTTGAAGCTAATTTGGGATGGTCATTCCAGTTGGTGGCAAGAGCACGTGCTCTTGCAAACCCAGCTATTGACAGCGGCCCAACGCAGGACTCTGTCCCACCCGTAACCATAGCAACTGCATCACCATGGGCGATAAATCTTGCAGCATCCCCGATCGCATGTGCGCCGGTGGTGCATGCTGTGGATACAGCGTGGTTCGGACCCTTTAGATTGTGCTTGATACTTATATGCCCAGCAGCCATGTTTACAAGAATACGAGGCACAAAAAAGGGGCTTATCTTCTTGTAGCCCTTTTTTTGGAAGGCTACAGAGGTAGATACTATTTCATCCAGCGACACCATGCCCATGCCAACAGCTACACCAGTGCTGAGTTGTTCCTTTGCGGTTGTAGGGTACCACCCTGAGTCCTCCAGGGCAAGCTTAGCAGCTGCAAGTGCCATCACCGTGGCTGGTGACATGCTATTTACCTCTCCGCGAGATACAAACATTTCCTCATTAAATTGACCTTCTGCATTTCCTCTGGGTACCAAGGCTGCTACTTTGCAGGGAATTGTTTTATAATCCTCCGAGCTAAGAGCCACAATTCCACTCTGGCCCTTAATTAGGTTGTTCCAAGGTAAATCCGTCCCTATGCCCAGAGGACACACAAGACCTACGCCAGTAATAACAACCCTTCTTCGTCTGTCAGTGCTGTGCCACCTCAAAGTCTGGCTTGGACAAGCAAATGCATTTATTTGAAACAGGAGACTTCCACTCTGCCTTAGTTGAAGTTTAGCCCAAAACGACAGTGAAGACATACTGGCGTCTTCCCGTACCTTCAGTAAATCCGCACTCGTTGAAAAAGTAATTTCGTAGTGGGTTGAGTAAATTTACACACAAAATTACGTTAGACGTGCCCACCGTCAGTGACGCACTCGAACGTTTGCTTGCCCTTCAGCAGCAGGCTTCAGGTGCAGTTTCCAAATGCCTGATTAAGCGAACACGTAAATTAGCACCTAATCATTTAAATATCTAATCAAACGCACAAGATAATACTAAACAGTATCGATATATATTTTCATGGATATTTGTTAAAACAACAGCCGTAAAGAATATTATTTGGGACTGAACAGTAATCAGGCGTCAAGGAGACTGCTATATTGAAGACCCAAAATGGACCGTTCCTAAGTACGCCAGGCTGTAGTGACGGTTCTCCGCAGAAACAAAAACAAATCTATAAATGGCTCTGACACCAGCAGTTACAGAATTATGTGAGAATCCAAATGACGTCTTCTTTGATGTGTGCAAGTTGTTACTTTCCTACGCCGACAATATTTTAAGGTAAGGT